ATCCCAATTCTGGACTATACCATCCTCGCTGCCTGTTCCTCTCGAGAGTTCATACACGTCTGGGCTAAAGTAGCTATATACAGACCAATAGAGACATGTATATATATGTGCACCCACATCCACATCACCAGCCGTGCCATGGAGAACAGCTGCAAGCGGGGTTATGTGATATAAAAAAAAAGAAACCTCCTACAAGCACATCTATACCTCATCCCCAGCTCAGCACAAGCTGCAAGCGGGGTTATGTGATATAAAAAAAAGAAACCTCCTACAAGCTCATCTATACCTCATCCCCAGTTCAGCACAGCACCACACTCAAATCATCTTTGTCCTCTACCATCCACACTCCTGTCGCCGTCGCCATCGTCGTTTTCTGGCAACCTCCTCCACTCCACCCCACAATCACAGGAGCACAGTGGGATGGAGCCTGTTGTTGTTGTTGGAGGAGAAGCCAGATCCATGAACTTCGCATAGAGCAGAGGACATGAACAAAGATAGTACAGGGTACATGAGGCAACTTGAAGGCAAGAGAGACGAACAAAGGAGAAATGTCAAAGGAAACTCAAAACAAGATTGATACAAGCCTTCCCACCGATCTTCATTTTCTAAAGTACCGCGAACCTCAGAGTCCTGCAAGCTTCAGCCGGAGACACTTCTGGCGGCGCAGAAGCAGGCAGGGCAGGAGGCAAGCAGATTTCTCGGAGATATTCCCTAGGGCTCACGACCCCAGGGGCACCCCGACTGCACAAGTGAACAGACACATTGTTAGTCAAATTGTTAAATTGGTCAATTCACAAGTTTCAAAAAGAAAAACAGGATATGAAAGGAACACTTACGAATATCTTTGGCAGACTCATTTTGTGCGAGGTTTGTACAGGATGTTGCTGGTGGGTATCCAGCAAACAGAGCCCGTGTCCCTTACACAGAGAAACACATACCCCAAGAGGCGGCTCTTGTGCTTGTGTTAAACCTTAGGCTTGTCGTATGCGAGATTCCAAAGACATCATGGAATTGCGAAAGGAACGTCTGCTATAGCTGCAGTTCATATACCCTGTCAGTCTCTTGCAAAAAATAGAAAAAAAAAACAGTAGGATAAAACTCACCATTGACTTCCAAGTCGCAGGAAAAAAGGGAAGGATGAAGATGAGGCGGTGATTAGGTTTTCGAATAAACCACGCGCCACGTGAGAGAAAGTTCGACGGGACCGGAGTCGAAGAGAAGTTCTGATTTAACTCCTCTAGCGCTGACGTTCGATGAAGACCACGACGCAGACCGCAATGGTCTTTCTATTGGTATTGGAGGCTCCTCGATGAGGAATTGGAGGGGGATCGGAGGATGAATTGAGCAGAGAAAGGCTGGAAGACTAGCGTCGGATTCCATCTTTTTCCAGCTGCCCTGTGGTTGTGTACATTACCTCTGGTGTACATCATCATGGGGAATGGGTATAAAGCTCATGCATGCTTCGGGGATTAAGTCTGGTGTCTCGATGGAGTCTGAAGAGGGAACGAAAGAGAAGAGAAGGGATAGGAGACATGGGTATTTAAAGGGCGTCTGTTTGCGCGATTTTATGTGCGCGTAGGGCACAGGGCTTATCCGCGTCGGCCTTGGCCGAGGTGTTTACGTAAAGATAATGGAATGTTGGGTGGCAGTGGGCTGTCACGTGAGCGGGAGATTGGTGGCGCTCACTGTCATTATCGGGGTGGCTTTGGCGCCAGTGGAGTAGTGATAGTAACTTGAATAGGGGATCTTAAGGGACACCAAGGAACGTTCGGCGATGCCGGTGAACGACAGAAGAAAAGGTACATCCACGTTCTCAGTCGTCAATATACGGGCCGCTAATGTTATAAAGGCTATTAGCCCCCTTGCGTCAGGAGACTAGTAATTATGAAAGTCATTCATAACTGTCAGAGACCCGGGCAGCGAGGCCAGACCAGGATAGCTCAGACCCGTTCATTACCTAAATATATTACCAATGTTCCTCCCTAACGAGGGAGCGAGGAATGAGCAACCTGAGAGCACTACGTTATATTTGGCAGAACGTGGCTCGGTTTTGATCGATTGAGGTATGTAGAAGAGAGTCTGTATTGTTTATTTGTTCATTTATTTGTTCGTTTACACACCCCTAATAGAGAAATCTTCGTTTTTTGTTATTTTTAACTGTCAAGTCACGAAACCCGCATACAGCAAGCCCACGGCAGGTCCACATATACAAGACTATCCATATACCTCCCTACGGGGGGGCATTGCAACCAGGCTACCAGATACCCCACTCATTTACGCATATATTTTCCCTAGGGAAAGGGCCTCTCCTCCTCCACGGGCCCGCACACTGCTGGGCTATGGTGAATAGCCCACAGGGCGGCACGCGACTAATGATATAAAAAAAATCAAAAAAACCTGCTGGGCTATGACGGGGCATGAATGATTCCCCGTCGTCAAGGAAGCTCAGTACGCACGGACAAAAGTCAAAACCACAAAAAAAAAAAAAAAAAAAAAAAAAAAAAAAAAAAAAAAAAAAAGTCTACAAACGTTATGGCCTACGACCCTCACTAGTGGGAAACATATTAAGCTACGTACAGGAGTGGGGATGGAATCGAATTGAACGGAGTGCCGTTTGAGTAAGCAAGTAACACGCGGACAACTGGGGTCAGCGCAGACTTCGAAATAACTGGTGTGTCTAGGCTATTGAGGGATTTTTGGGTTATAGATGTCGACCACCGCCTCGTGCTCCAATCCAGCCACTGGAAGGCTATGTTTTTTTTTATCATTACTTAAAAGTACCTTGATGGCTACGGAGAGGTGACTGAAAACCTACAGCAGTCAAATGATTGATTGTGGAGAGACGATGTCCAGATCTATCTCGAGTATCTGCATATATGGGACGGTGGCACTGGTAAGTCGAGATAACCTAAATATCATCTCTCCACGACTTATAATTTTTTTCTTCTTCTAGGGGGAGGGGGGTCACGTACTTCCGCATACAGGCTATCAGCCTAGAGAAGGACCCATATTTTTTTTTTTCAAAAACATAATCACATAACCCCGCTTGCAGCACGAAGCCATGGCAGGGTCCCTGGGCAAGCCCTCATAGCCCGGAGACAGACTGAAAGAAAATTTCTAAGTACATGACCTCACCCCCGTGTTCTCCACCCCCCCTGCTCTTCTAAAACCTGATTCCGGAAAAGAACCTCTCCAGCTCATCCGATTCCTCTCCATTCTCTGCTATCCGTTTCCAGTTCTTCTCCATATCTCCCCATTCTCTGAAGCCTTCTGGACGAAATCTTTGCTGACAGCACCGGAAAGCTAAGTGCTCCCCAGTATGGACCTCCCCACACCCGCACCTCTCCGATTCTGCCACCCCCAGTCTCTTCAACCATGCCTTACACCTGCCCCTCTCCAGGCGCATGGATGTTAAGTTAGACGCCGCTATTCTGTTCCACTCCATGACCTTTCCCCCCCAATACCCCTTCACCTCTTTCTTCTCTTTCCTCTACGCTTTGAGCCTCTGGCGCACTCCACTCCCTGTGGCCACTTCCCTCCCTTTCTGCTTCGTCCCCTTCTTCGCCTGTTTATCCGCTTCTTCATTTCCCACATCAGCCTCGCATCTCCCCCCTTCTTCTTTCTCCTCGCCAGGATATCCGCTGCCCTTCTTACATCCTCCATCTGCCCCTTCCCTTCTCTGCCTGCTTTCTGGATCGCCATAATAGCCGCCTCCGAGTCCAGGCACACCAGCACCTCCTCCTCCTCCTCCACTGATTCCAGTGCTCTTCTCACCCCTCTCACCTCACCGTCAAACACCGTCGCAGTCTTCCCCACCACCTCTGCCACTACTGCCGAACCCCCCCACACTCCCGCCCCAATCTTGCTCTCTTCCATCTTACTGCCATCTGAGTAGAGTATTGCTCTCTCTCTTCCGGCCTCCTCCACTGAGGTTTCCCACTCTTCTCTACCCCCCCCCCCCTTTCTCCCCAGCCTCACCGCTATCTCCACCTTCACCTTCTCGCACTCCCCTCCCCATGGAAATTACCTACGTACACTACAAACAAGCCATTCCTGTCGTACTGCTTTATGGGTAACCTAGGTCGAGGCTAACGGGCTTGTAGTTTGGCTGGTCTTTCATAGGTTGCATATGCCAGGGCCGGACGCAGAAGGGGACGGGGCGGTTGACATGTCGATATCCTTTAATTGCTCAGTACATAGACTCGACCAGTTAACTATCGAGAAGTCGGCGGTGAACCCCAGCTCATAACCTTTTCCAGAGTTCTGCCTGGTGGAGGAATACTACTCAGTTCAATCAACCAAGGTGGAATTTGAGGTACTATATATACTACACCGCGAAAGGAAGAACGACTGTAATATTACTAAAGAGATAACAAAAATATGATAAGAATACAGATCACGTAAAGACTAGGTTTGGAAGTTACAACGTAAAAGACACCAAACTTTGTGCAAATATTGGACAATAAACTATGGCAGACAAGGCTCCAAGTAGCCGTCACGAAGATCCATCACAGGACTATAAGTATATATAGTATCTCACAATGTTCTTCCCTCTTCTTATTTTTTGCTGTATAGAGTACAGGAGACGGAAGTTTTTTTTTTTTTTTTTTTTTTTTTTTTTGATATCATTGTTCGCGTGCCGCCCTATGGGCTATGGCGAATAGCCGGAAGCTTGTGACAAGGTGGCAGGATACAGTAGATGGAACGTGTACGAATATAGACCGGTGCCAATCAGATTACGTAGATTGTTTCCTAAGATGCTCTTGACGATCAAAGCTACTTTAGTGCTGTCACCCAGGAAATGAAAGGTAAGTATGGCAGGTGCTACATTTTGTAGCTTAAGTGCCATGCTTCGAGCAGCCTCACGGTGGAATAAGACTACGTAGTCTTATGGCGGTCCAGTGCCCGGACCTTAGACAAGTCAAGGAAGGGCAGGTTTGAGGTCATGATCTCATGAAAACAATCAATGAGAAAAACTATATTTGAAAACGTATCATTCTGCCCTGCTGGCGCAATCGGTAGCGCATAAGACTTCTAATCTTAAGGTTGCGAGTTCAAGTCTCGCGTGGGGTGCGCTTTCTTTTTGCTCTGCTTGTCGAGTCCCTCCTCCTAGTTGTTGTTGTTGATTGATGTTCGGAAGACCCTGGGGTCAAGAGCCATTCATAATCTGACGCCGAGCTAGGTGCTAGCTGTGAAGTATTATCCCTTCTGTTTACGCGGGTATGTACGTCTCAGGATAATTATTTTATTCCTATTTACAGGGACATTAGCCCCAGGGCGGAAGCTAGAAGCAAACTGGATGCCACTTCCTAATCCCCACGAAGTACCCTACCCTATTTAGAGGTTCTTCACACTTGAACCAATCTCTCCGGCAACATGAAGATTTGAATGACGAATACTGTAGAAAAATAGAGGGAAACATTGGATACGACAAGCCTGAATTCCTTATAAGCGTGCAAACACACGCAACGCGCACCGCTAGTGTTGATCTCTCAGATATTGCTGATCTCATTTACGTTAGAGGAAGGACAAAGTCGACTGATTAGAGTTCGACCAACGTACAGGTGGAAGTTCGAGACCTATTTAAAATTGAGATCTCGGGTACAAAGAGAATGTAGATATTCCCAAAGGATTAGAATATGTAAGTCAAGTGTGTGTAACTTGATCCTCCTGAGTTTAAAGATATCTAGACGTATCAAGAGTAAAGAACGAAGAGACAGAAACATCCAGAATACATGACGTATGAGAGAACTAGAAATAGAACAGAAAGTGATGGAACATTACAGAATGATATAAAGAAATAGAAGAAACAGAAGGTTTTTTTTTTTTTTCTATTTATTTCGCGTAACCCCGCTTGCAGCTGTTCGCCATGGCAGGGCCCCTGGGCCTGGACCCTTAATGCTCGGAGGCAAATATAGAAACAGAAGGTAGTGGAAATACTGCACGTTGTACTATACCATTTTCGACAATAAGTACAGGATCAACGTTCCAGAGCCATATATCTATATTTCCCCCAAATTCCTTCTCTTACACATTTCCAATTCCTGCCTGTAGTCCAAAACGATAGATACATCGTTGCATTTTTTTCACGATGTATATAACGGACATAATTCGTAGTCGTTTGTCCTGAAGGAGGTGCAAGAGGTTGCTGGGAAAATGTATGGGTAACCGAAAATATAGGGGGAGTATCAGGGTAATGCATGCGTGGAATACCAGTATCTGTAAGGAATTCCTCGAAATCCGAAATAATAGGCTCAGGCAGCTTCTCGCACATGAGATTCCAGAAAATCGCAAATGCGGCTGATACTTGCTGATAGTACTCCTTCTTATCACTATCCGAATATTTGGCCTGATGATTTTTCACCCATTCAAAGGCTGGTTTCGAAAGATTTCCAGTCGTATAGCCCTGAAGAACCATTTTTCCGGGATTGTCCAGCTACAAATATTAGTCCCAGTAAATAAACAAAAATATATATATATACTCACCCAAAACGATTTCCCAACTTCAAGGGTATCTGTATCATAAACTACTATATTATCAGTAGCATTAAGTACTAACTGCAGCTGGTTTATATCAAGGAACCCCACTGGATAGTGCTTACGCCGCTCATCAGCAAGAGTATAAGTTTCCATATAGTGTGCCCAATTTGTAAATGTAGTAGAGGTTTCGGCAACCCAGGTATCAATAGCAGGATAGGGTACTTTCAGGCGCTTCAAATAATAAAAAGCTACTGCAGTAGAAGTAGTTCTACTACCAATACCTGCACTCTTGAGTACCCCCCTCCTCCCTCGGTGCATGCGCTTCCTCCTTCAATCTTTTCAGAATAATAACAAAATCCTTTGCAGCACTATACCGCAAAGGAATCCCATCCTTCTGCAAATATGTAAAAAGGTCCCGCCGGTACTTCTAGATATCCTGCCTTTTTTTTTTTTTTTTTTTTTTTTATTTCATGAATCGCATGCCGCCCTATGGGCTATGGCGATGAGATATCCTGCCTGCAGAAAAAATCCTGTAAGGCCCTGCATAGCAGCCTCTCGACAGCATCCAAAGTAGACTCAGTGATACGAGGTACCTCCCACTGCTGCGAGAAATCCTTTATAGATAGTCCACTAGACAAATTGTACTACTACTATCAAGCACAGTGATCTTGTACGGATGGTAGTAGCCAGTAGTATCCAGGATATTGTATAGTAAAATCAAGCAGCAGCAGTAGTACTAAGCATCCTGTGCCAGTAGGATGTATGCCAGCCGGATATACTATAGCATAAACAGTTAGCTATAAATACACAAGTATCAAAGCAGGACAGCCAAGTACAATACGATGGTGCCAAAAGGGGGTAGATGTGGTATGGTTACTGTACCACTGGTGTGCAGACCGGTCACAGTACTATGCAGTACGAATCGTAATGTGTAAGCAGGGCGAACCGCAATGTAGGAAAACGACGCGTACTGTGGTATAAAGGGCAGTGCGAACCGTGGTGTAAAGTGGTACTGTTAAAAGCGGCGCTGTAGGGATCAGTTTTATAGGAAGTAAAGGCGGAAGTGCTGGCAGGAGTGCAGGCGAAAGTGCACGCGAAACTACAGATGCAGCTAGCGCGCACATTACGCCAAGACACACCGGCCGGAGGCCGCCCCATCGCGTGAATATATATATACATACGACAAATGTATAACATGAAGTAGTAAACAAAAACAATGAACCTATGATGGCTAAGGGTTCGGTCTGACAAGTTTGGAGGGGACACGGCCCGCCTCATATGTTCGGACTCGATCATGGTTCCCACTGGCATCCAACCGTGTAAGTAAACTCCGACCAGATCGACTAATCATGTCCGATCGGTCATTATATGTCTATACATTGACGCAGATCTCTCGGACTGCTAGGGTGCAGCCCGTGAACTTTAGATAGTGATGGTTTCCAACAAATACCACCGTGACGGGATACTGTCTGTGGGTACCACTACCAACTTCTGTCTGTGTTTATGAAGACTACTGGTGAACACAGAAGCATCTACAGCCATAGACTGAAGAAAACGAGGCATCCCGTCCGCTCTGCCATATCTAACCTTCAGATCGCCAAGCTAGTACTACGGTGGGTGACCACGTGGGAATCTTTGGTGCCGTAGATATTTTTTTTTTCCAAAAAATCTTTGTTTCCTTTTTCTTTTGTTTGTTATTTTGGTCTCAGTATTGATGCTGGCTGCGAGTAGGTACTAAAACAGATAGGGCAATTGTATGAGAACCGGTACTGATATGTTCTCTTAATGCTCCTGCTTACGCATGCTCTCAGAATAATACTCATTGCAGGTATATGGCACTACTACATCACTATATGCTATTAGGTTAATTTGATACCACCAAATTAGAATTACAGATAAAATTCCAAAAGTTCAATCAATTAATGGTAAAATGTATTGTCCTCAATCCCCATTAGGACATTATTATATCTACTCCGACTATTCTTTGCACTGCCATCGCCAACAGGTGTACGCAGGGGTATGTGCTTTAAAACAAAAAATGGTCCGCGGAGAAAGAGTTCAGGGTAAGGGTTGATGGGGAGGGCCATCATGCTCTAACGTGAGGACCGGAAGTTCAGCGCTCAATGGTTTCGGTCGAGATATTGGCATGATCTGGTGTTTGCTATGCGCTGCTAGGGACCATGCCGTCAGTCGTTGTATTACACCTCCGCACGTGCCCGACCTGTACCTCATTGTCTTTACCGTGCCGTAGCGATCGATTAACCAGGCAGAATCATCACTAGCATACTTTCGGGTTGATCAACACGGCAATATCCTCCTTCGGGTAGACCATGACAGAACCGGGCCTGAAGACACACATGTAGAGTAACCACATTCACCTGAGGGTCTGAGGGCTGAACACTGTGCAGGAGCATACGGGATACACAGAGTCAATTAAAAACGCCTTCTGATTCATGGCCCCAAAAGTTCCAGTTTTCACGGCCTAACGGAAATATGCACTTTCTATATTCTACCTTTTCATGACCAATCCATAACGTACTGTGACAAACAGGCTGTTCTCACGTTCCTGCTCCTAGAACAACACATCAATACTGTTGAAAGATACGAGCTGAGGTGTGCATACAATGCACGAGTTAAGCTGATACAAGACAAGCTGATGCTGTCACTATGTTCAGCTGTTGTTACCACTGCATATGTCGTCATCTTCAGCTCTCATCATATTGCAGCAACACAGCCTCATGTCTTGGCTCAGCTACTTTGGCAAACTCATGCTCGTGACAACGTCATAAGTCTGATAACTATGTCATATATTTTAATGACTCTCCTGTATATAAATCATTGTTTTTCTCTCTCATGTTCAGTATCAATTAAGCCAGCAGACTATACAGATCTATTACCATCTCGTTTTACAACAAATACACACTGGCCCCTGCCTGTGTCATCCAGTCATGATCATCCTTCCCAACAAACGAAGAATACCAGTTACAGTGCTCGTATGTCCATGCATACTGCACAACCACTCCCGTCTCATTTGCCACCCTCGCGATGTCATTTGACGGGTCCATGCCGTACCATCCCGGAACATCTGGGTCCTGCCATCTCTCCCAATCCGATACAAACACCACCTTCTCAAGCCTGCCCTTGCCACCGAACGTCCCCTTGCCCCTCTCCCGCATGTACTGCCCCACGATGTTCGCAGCCTGCTCTAGCTCCCACCAACACCCATCCAGCGGCTGGAGCTCGTCAACAAGTCTCAGAACCTCTAGCCCCTCCGGGAGCGCCTGGGATAAACTCATTCCGCTCTCATTATTGAGGCCCAGCAGAAGACTCAAGTTGGTGGTCAGGTCCCGCAGCTTGGTGAATCCCGACAGCGAGAGAGCCCGAGCATCGCCCCTGAAGCCACATTCAGTCCCTAGTATCATCGTGCTTAGGTCCAATGAGCCGAACATGAAAGTGCGGAGGGTAAGCGTTGTCAAGGTATCCTTGACGTGGCTGAGTGCGGAGCCAAGAACGAAGTAATCAACCCACCGGTGCTCGGTGATAATGATGTTTCGGAGGTGAGTGTAACAGAGTGTGGATAGGTTTGGTGTGCA